GGCTCAGGATGTCGTACATGCTTCCGCATCTGCACAATGGCTGGCAGGTAGACCAGGCCATCCTCTCGGAGGAGGACCGCGTGGTCGTCATTCGTTTCGGGCACGACTGGGACCCCACTTGCATGAAGATGGACGAGGTTCTGTACAGCATCGCCGAGAAGGTAACGCGGCCCGCGCAGGTTTCGCTCGGCTGGGCCCCGCAGCGAGGTTCACGCTTGAGCCCCGCCTTCCCTGCACACCCGTGGACTCACGAGAAGGGAGAGGGAGAGACGGGGCTCGTGAACACGTGTGGGGACGGCTGTGCCAGAGGTAGTTTCGTAAACTCTGAAGAGATTGATGCTCTTCCTCCCAAAGTGGGTGACTCATTGTGATGATGGGTTTTTTGTAATAATGATCGGGGAAGGGAATTGTTCGGAGATAGGTCTAGATAACCGAGACGCACCTTGAAGTCATTACCGTGCAGACTCTGCCCCTTACGGTGTCGGGATTACAGGTGTGCCTACTGTGGACCCTGATTGTGGTTTTAAAAGAGTTCACTCGGGCCGTGTGCGGCAGCACACCCATTTACTCCCAGCACTCTGGAAGCTGAGGCAGACTGATCTGAGATCCAGGCCAGTCAGCAGGGTGAGTTTGCAAGCCGCCTTGGGAGTGTTGGAGCTTACTAAGTAGTTTAACAGGATTGGCCTTTTCTTGGTAAGAGCAGAACTTCTAGGTTAATATCGTGGTAAACTCTTTAACTTTTTTTTTTTTCCCTTTTGGGGAGAGAGGGGGAAACGGATTTATTGTGTACCCAGGCTGACCTTGAAGTTTCATTATCCCCACCTCATCGCAAGTCCTAGAACTATAGGCATGAATCTCCAAGCACTTTTCTTAGGAGGTTTACTCTTTGTGAATTCCTTGAGACAATTTTAGGATAACTTACTCAGGCTTTTGTAATTGTAACAATAGGGCTAATGGCAAAGACAGTAAAGGATAAAATATTTAATGATACCATTCCATAAGTAATTTGAATATTTTGTTTTCTTGAGACAGGGCCTTCCTTAGTAGCTCTGGAACTTGTGTAGACCAGGCCTAGATGTCTGTACCCCTCACAGACATCTGCCTGCCTCTTCCTCCCTCTCCTAGGGCTAGGATTAAAGGCATTTGCCATTCTGCCTAGCCTGAGAGTTTGTTTTAAAGAAGAATAAACCCTAATAGAACTGACGAATTTGCTAATGTAAACTGGCTAAAAGTGATTCTTACCTTCCAAGTGGCACCCCAGTAGTATTATTACTTCATTTACTTGTGCTGCAAGTGAAGCCAGGCCCTGGGGCAAGTGCTCTACCACTGGGCCACAAATACAAAGAAACACAAAGAAATTCTTTGGAGTAAGAAATAGGAGTGCGTATGTGTGTGGGGGGGGGATATGTAGGACAGGGAGCATTGTTTGGCTTCCCGAGGACTGTTGGTTGGTTTGTTTCTGCTTTCAGATTTAGGAGAGAACGTTAGAGGACAGTTCCGACATTCAGTTGTCACTGGTGTCTTGGGACTGCTTTTGAAGTGAAGCCTTGTTAGAGAGGGTTCCAGGAAATTCAGGAACCCTTGGTGGAAATTAAGCTGAGGGCAACAGTACCATTCTTGCCCTGTTCCTCTCGGACTCCAGGGAAGATCTGTGGGTGTGGCTTGGGGGGGGTGAGAGGGCAGAATTTCTCTCCTGTGCCGCTGTCTTGCCAGTCAGAGACTAGAGTCAAGAATGAGGTGGTTGGGTCCATTACACAAATGCTGAACCATCACTAAAAGTAAGGCCACTCTGTCGTTGAGTCTGTGTTAGGGACAGCTAACTGTCCTAACCTCAAGGTGGCATGAGCAACCTCTGGTGGGGTTTCCTGTCAGGATGGCTGGACATGATGCCTTTGGCTTTTCCCAGTTGAGTAGAACTTTTTTGCCAGACATGTTCTCTTTCCTCATTGTACTGTGTCAGGTGCAGGTGACAGCTATCAGTTCTACCTGATACATATTGTATTTGGTATTGGGCTCATTAGTCTTGTTTTAAGATATTTTCTTTAGTCTTCTAAATTGCTTTTGTTCAAAAGTTTGATTACATTCTTTTTGTTTTGTTTTTCAAGACAGGGTTTCTTAGTCTTAACAGCTCTGGCTGTCCTGGAACTCACTCTGTAGACCAGGCTGGCCTTGAACCCACAGAGATCCACCTGCCTCTGCCTCCCGAGTGCTGGGATTAAAGGTGTGCTCTTTTCCCCTTTAGCAGTCCATCGTCTTCACTCGGCCACCTCCTCACTGCATCTTTTCCCTTTTAAAAACTGTGGTGCTGGTGTGCTAGGCAGGAGGGCTGTCCCCCAGCGACCATTACTTTTCACACACACCTGCAGATGGTGGCCCAAAGTGTGTGTTAGCAATAATCATCAGGCCCTCTTCTTCCACCGTATTTACCCATTGAGGCAGGTCTTTCATTAAAACTAGAGCTTGCCAATAAGGCTAGTCTTGCTAGCCAGCTTGCTCCTGGGATCCCTGTCTTCATCTTCCACGACTAGAATTACAGGTAGGCCACTATGCCTACCTGTAATGTGGGTTTCTGGGGGTCTGAACTTGGGCCCTGCAAGCTCTTTAAGCACTGAGCAATCTCTTCCCTGTCTGTAATAAACCCTTTGCTTGCTTGTTTGTTTTTGCTTTTGGATTTTCAAGACAGGGTTTCTCTGTGTATAATGAACCTTTAATACTGTGTTTTAGTATCGCCATTAAAAATGTAATTTGAAATAAAAAGACTTAATGTTTTGCTTTCTTAGTATTATGGCAAAATATAAATTCTTAATTCTGGGAACTCTTGAGGAACAGAAATTTTTGAAAAAAGATTTTAGTGTAAAGAACAGTATAACTATGTAAAAATCTCCCTCCACAGAAATGGAAGATAGTGGGAGATCTTTCTCATCTTGTATGAGTCCTGTTTGGATATCCCAGCTGTTTTAAAGTGAGTAAAAGTTCTGTGTTCAGGCTGGACTTGGGTGTCCTATTTTCCCTAGATTGTGTTTCGTTAGCCAGTGTACTTCTTCTTCTTGTGCCCACCTCCACCTGACGCTGGGCTAGTTTTGAATTAAATAGCGAAGGGAGAAAGGTGGGTAGGAAGCAGGTGTCCTGAAGGTCTGGAGCTTACTGAGTTCTCTGTAGAGCTAATTTCATGTGACTTTGAAGAGAGACTATTTCATATACTTGTGATCTCCTTTCTCATAGGGCAGGAGTACACTTAACCACAGAAATGCTCTAGAGATCTGTATTCATTTATACTGAGACACACAGAAATAGACAGTTTGTATGTCAAAAAGCCCATACAAATGGCATTGAAAGTATCTTTAGAGACATATTGACATGTGATGGTGTATTATGAAAGAAACAGATACTGTGGCTGGTGAGGTGGCTCAACAGATGGAGGCATTGCCACACAGGAACCCACATCAAAGTCAAGAACCAATTCCACAAGTTGTTCTCTGATCTCCACACACATGCCATGGCATGTCTACCACATGCACGCAAATTATGAATGCAGATGTATATACACAATTTTAGAAAGCTGTACAAGGCAAATGATGTTTATAGAGCGTCTACAGAATAACACATGACAGGAAGGATTGAGTTAGTTGATCTTTGGAGGTCAGCACTCAGCTAGGTGAGGGCCTCAGACACAAGCACAGTGTATACCTGGATGTTACTGTGGAGTTTGTGAGTCATGCTCTTCAGGAAGCAGGTATAAATGTTGCCCGTGCTTTTTAAAACTCTGCAACTGTGGGATTAAATACATGGGCATATACAAAGCAGGGTTTTTCCATTTAGTTTTAGATTTTCAAAATGGTTATTGGAGAAAAAAGTAGTGAACATCTACTTTAATCTCAGTTTTATATAAGACACAGGTGAAAATTTTAGCTAACTACAAATTGATAAATGGGTGGACAGTAGCAGGATAAACAGTACTGCTGACTTTTTATTCTAGCCCACATGGAAGCAAGAGCCAGCGTCCAAGCAGCCCATTTTGAGATGCTTTGCATACACTGCTATTGCAGATAGAATCCAGGAAGGTTTAGGAGTTAGCAGGGGACCGGGGAGGTTGAATGCTATGTTGGTACCTTCTCAGCTAATTGTCACATGAACATATACCCTCATAGGCAGAGACCCCATCCTCACTAGAAGGGTTTCAGCCTTTGCCAAACCCTGCTCCCCAAGTATTGATGGATGAGAGCCTCTGCAAGCATGAGTACAAAATTAAGATTATGTAGTTGCACTAAGGTCACATGACCAGGATACCTGTTAAATCCATATTCTTCAAAGATACATTTATGACAGTGCTGTGTTTCTTAAGTTTTGAAATACGCCTTTGTGTCAATTCCTCGAGGCAAACGGTGTTGGTGTCGCTTGTGCTCCGTGGCATCCTCTCTTGTTCTCTGGAGCCTGATAGGCCTGTCTGCTGCCAAAATGAACATCCGCCGTGCTCGGCCAGATGACCTGATGAACATGCAGCACTGCAACCTGCTCTGCCTGCCGGAGAACTACCAGATGAAGTACTATTTCTATCACGGCCTCTCCTGGCCCCAGCTCTCCTATATTGCTGAGGATGAGGACGGGAAGATTGTGGGTTATGTCCTGGCCAAAATGGAGGAGGATCCTGATGATGTCCCTCACGGACACATCACTTCACTGGCTGTGAAACGCTCCCACCGGCGTCTCGGCCTGGCCCAGAAGCTGATGGACCAGGCCTCACGAGCCATGATCGAGAACTTCAGCGCCAAGTATGTATCCCTGCATGTCAGAAAGAGCAACCGCGCAGCCTTGCACCTTTATTCCAACACCCTGAACTTCCAGGTTAGTGAGGTGGAGCCCAAGTACTATGCAGATGGAGAGGATGCATATGCTATGAAGCGAGACCTCTCACAGATGGCAGATGAGCTCAGACGGCAGCTGGTGCTGAAGAAAGGCAGATATGTGGTTCTGGGTTCCAAGGAGAATCAGGGCAACACTCCTGGTTCTGAAGAGGCCTGTCAGCAGGAGAACCTGGCCGGAGATGATAGTGGCAGTGACAGCAAAGACATCACTGATGTCCAAGACAGCCTGCAGGACTTGGATTCCACCTCTTAGAGCCTGCTTGAGCATTATAACTTCTTGTATTTCTAGCCACATTTTT